GTTACACCAAGATCGATACACTCCGCATTGCAATTGCCCGTCGCCCAATCAGGTGTCTTGAACATGTTGCCGTACCTCACCTTTCCATATCCCTTTCCAGGTTCGTGGGTCGATCATGTTGTTTCTGATAAGGGGTGCGCTTGTTCGCACCAGTGCCAAGGGTTGATTGCTCAAAGCTCAGGGCTTACGGCGCCCAGCAGAGCAGAAACCCATGCCGATTTGGGTCCGGTGCAGAGTGTCGCGTTTCGAGCCCGCAGCGTGGCACTGCGGGTCCGCAACAGCGCCGGGTGGGCAGCGTCCAGATGCCGTGGCCATGCAGGCTCAATAGCCGAAATAACACATTCAGCAAGTCGTTAATCGCGGAGAAGCGTTTTCTCGCTCGAGTAGACGGGATGGTGGCGATTGGTATGATCTGGTCTCTTGTGTTTCTCGGGCTATCAGGCGCGTCTGGCATGCAGCTGGCAACGAGCGGGTGGCTCGAGAACGTGGCGCCCAACGCGACGTCCGCGCGGTTCACGCGCGCGGAGTGCAGCACCTGGCAGGTGGGTCAAGGCTGCTGCACGCCACTGGGAAATACCGCGTCTGCGTGGACCTTCGCTTCTCATGGGGTGCATGGCACTTGGTCCAGCACCACCGCGTTCATCCGCTTCGACTTCCATGACGATACGATCTGCGGTGGCGTGGCGAATGCCAGGCAATACGGGAGCGCAGTTCTCACCTTGAACGACGCTTCGCCCATCGACCTGACCCTTGCGATGACAGGCGTCGCTGAGGCCAATTTCGAAAAGTTTGATCTATACGTGGACAACGTCCTGCATACCACGGTGCAAGCTTCAAACGGCCACGGGGGCAGCGCATGCCAGGTCAGCACCTGCATCATGTGCGATGTCAACATGCCCTCGCAGACATTCTCGCTTTCAGCTGGGCCGCACACAATCAAGGTAGAGGTTGATTCTCGCGACGGTCTGTTCCACAGGGGCGCTTACTTCCAGATGACCTTCGGCAAAAGCAGCCCGACGTGTGGCGGATGCACCTGCTCGGAGGCGACGCCCAGCCCGACGCCCTACCCGACGCCCAGCCCGACGCCCTACCCGACTCCCTACCCTACGCCCTACCCGACGCCCTACCCCACGCCCTACCCCACGCCCTACCCGACTCCCTATCCGACGCCCAGCCCGACGCCTTTTCCCACGGCTTTCCCGACGCCCTACCCCACGCCCTACCCGACGCCCTACCCCACGGCCTACCCGACGGCCTTCCCGACGCCCTACCCCACGCCCTACCCGACGCCCTACCCCACGGCCTACCCGACGGCCTTCCCGACGCCCAGCCCGACGCCCAGCCCGACGTATCCTCCAGGTTGGCCGACGCCACACCCGACGTTTCCTGCTGGAGCTCCCATGGCGGGTGGAGCCGGCGGATCGGTGGCTGCCACTGGCGATCCGCATTTGCAGAACATCTTTGGTGAGCGGTTCGACTTGATGCAGCCCGGCAAGCATGTTTTGATACAGATTCCGCAGGGAGAGCGTGCCGAGATGACGATGCTTCATGTAGAGGCCTTGGCGCATAATTTGGGTGGACACTGCGCAGACATGTACTTTCAAGAAGTAAATCTCACAGGTTCGTGGGCGGAGGCGAGGCAGGCTGGCGGTCTTCGTTTCAGCGTTCAGGGTGAAGGGATGAAATGGACAAAGTTCGGGGTGGTAGAGATAAAGATTGCCCGTGGTCGCACACAGCAGGGCACCCAGTATCTGAATTTCTACGTCAAGCACCTCGACCGCGCTGGGTTTGCAATCGGAGGGTTGTTGGGAGAAGATGATCACACGCAGGCATCGATGCGGCCGGCGGAGTGTTTCCGGCACCTCTCCCTTTGAGCCTCGCCTGTGTGCAACGTTCATGTCGGATGCAGGGGCAGATCTCTAATGATTCCGCTTAGACGCGTCGGCGGCAGCAAGGCGGTTGACCCGACATCCGAGCCCACTTCTGAGAAAGCACGTAAGAAGTTCTGAGCACAAGCGCTTTTTGGGGCACGCCTATGTATGTATGTGTGTAAGTACATGCATGTAGGTATTTCTATGTATATGCATGTGTAGGCGACGAATCATGCATAGACATGTACTTCATATGTTTATGTACAGGTTCGCATGTGCACGTATGCATGCATCTAGGCATGCATCTATATATGTAGATCAGAGAGATCGGTGTAGGTGCCAGATCGTGTTGTATGCGCATGTGTACGTCTACGTGTATGTGTATGTACAGCCGTACGCATGTGTGTCTATCAGCTATGCATCTGAACGTATATCCATATATGTATACATGTGTACGTTAGTGTGTTTGCATATACGCTTATGTATAGGTACATGCATATGTACATCTGCACATACATACATGTTTGTACACTCATTGATTTGTGTATGCGCTCATCTGTATATCCATTCAACTAGTCATACGTGTATATGTATGAAATCGCGATTCTAGATGCATGCCTATGCATATGCCTTTGACTATGTCTATGCTTGTGTAGATGTAGTTGTTGCTCTTGTTGTTTCAACAAGCGTGGGTCCTATACACAATCTACATATACATGCATACACATATCTAGTTGTAGACATGCCTACATTCATATCTATATATGTATGTATATGCGTGGCTGGATGGAGGCCCTTTTCCCTGGTTGCTATAATTGGGGGCTACACATGGGTGCGATACATGGGGGACGATACTTCGGGGTAATTCTTTGGGGCCATGCGCGGGGGCAATGCATGTGGGCGGGCAACCCATGGGGGCAATCCACAATACTTGGGGGCAGCTTACGGGGGCGATACGTTTGGGCAGCACGTAAGGGACAATCCATGGGGGCAGGGCATGGGGCGAACTTTTGGGGCGGTACTTGGGGGCAGTACATGTGGGCGATATTTGGGGGGGGGGGATACATAGGAGCAACACTTGGGGGAATACATGGGGTCAACATGTGGGGATTGTTTGTGAGGGATTAGTTTCGCCCTCGTCGCCGCCCCTGCACTCTTATCATCAAATCTTGGTGCTACGTATTGGCATACGTGTATGTATATGAGTATGGGTCTGAGAGAGGTGTTTGTGTATGTCTATGTGTATGCGCATGCGTATGTGTATGTGGATGTGCATATCCATGTGCATGCTTACGTGCACGTGTACGTGTATGCGTATGCGTACGCATATGCGCATGCGCATGCGTATGCGTATGCGTATCTGTATGTGTATGTATACGAGGCCTGGGGGAGTGAGCAAAGGACCTGCTGACACGCCCATTCGGTGCCCAGCGGCATGGTGGTGAATATGTGTGCGTGTGTGCATGCATGCATGCATGTACGTATGTATGCATGCCTGTCTGTATGTACGTACGTACGCAATGTATGCGTGCATGTATGCACGCACGCATGCATGTATGTATGCATGTGTGGATTCATGGTTGCGTAGGTTTTCACACATAGGTATGTATGCTTGCGTGTATATATATATGTGTGTGTATTATCCAGCGTTGATCCCAAACAGTAGGTTATTGCAGTCTATGCGGTGCAATCTAGGTGGTGCAATCAATCACTTGTTCAATATGAAGTTGTTCTATCCACTGCTCGTGCAAACATCCAACCCTCCCACCCGCAACTTGGTTGCACGACCTCCTAAGACTGTGGCGGTGGGTACCACATGGCACTTGGGAGCGACGCCGACGACGACAGCGACAACGACGACGACGCCACCGACAACGACTACGACGACACCGACGACGTCTCCAACGGCTTCGACGACACCGACGACGACGACGGCACCGACGACGACGACGACGCCGACGACGACGACGGCGATGACAACGCCGACGACGACGCCGACGCCGACGATGACTATTACGACGGGAACGTGTCGAGCAAGACGCTTGGTTTCACGTGTCCAGGTCGCCCAGGCGGATGTGTAACATGCGGATGTGTTGAGAATGTCTCGAGCGAGACGCTTATTTTCACGTGTCCAGGTCGCCCAGGCGGATGTGTAACATGAGGATGTGTTGAGAATGTCTCGAGCGAAACGCTTGCCCGTCCGTGGGGCGTCCCCTGGTGCGCTGGCGCGTCCCCTGGCGCGTCCCTTGACACGTTCTGGCGTGACGTGCCCTGGCACGTCCCCCAGCACGCCACTCGGCGTGGCATGTTCCCTGGCTCGTCCTCTGTCGCGTTTCCTGGCTCTTCCCCATGCGTGTCCCCTGCTTGTTCCTTGGCGCGCCCTTTGCAACGCCCCTTGGCATGACGTCCTCTGGCCGCCCCGTGGCACGCGCCTTGGCACGTCCCGTGGCAGGTCCCTGACACGTCCAGGGCACGTCCCTTGATACGCCCCCTGACACGCCCCCTGGCGCATCCCGTATTCGCCCCTGGAACATCCTGTGGCGCGTCCGTGAGCCTGTGCCCCGTGCCGTTTCGTTCCTTTTCGGAGTTGAGTCGGATTTTGAGGTCGAGTTGATTGAGCGTCCCACACGTTTCCATGCCAACTAGCTTTGGGACAGTTACCATGTGCTTGGACAGCTCGAGCTTAGGATCCAGATCAGTTCGGTCTCAGACTCGGATGCAAAGGAAGACTCGATCCACAAGGCCACAGAGCACAATCGCAGCATGGCATATCGCAAGTCAGCACCGCGCAGCACAGCACAGGCTTTGGCACGTTACACCAAGATCGATACACTCCGCATTGCAATTGCCCGTCGCCCAATCAGGTGTCTTGAACATGTTGCCGTACCTCACCTTTCCATATCCCTTTCCGGGTTCGTGGGTCGATCATGTTGTTTCTGATAAGGGGTGCGCTTGTTCGCACCAGTGCCAAGGGTTGATTGCTCAATGCTCAGGGCTTACGGCGCCCAGCAGAGCAGACACCCATGCCGATTTGGGTCCAGTGCAGAGTGTCGCGTTTCGAGCCCGCAGCGTGGCACTGCGGGTCCGCAACAGCGCCGGGTGGGCAGCGTCCAGATGCCGTGGCCATGCAGGCTCAATAGCCGAAATAGCACATTCAGCAAGTCGTTAATCGCGGAGAAGCGTTTTCTCGCTCGAGTAGACGGGATGGTGGCGACTGGTATGATCTGGTCTCTTGTGTTTCTCGGGCTATCAGGCGCGTCTGGCATGCAGCTGGCAACGAGCGGGTGGCTCGAGAACGTGGCGCCCAACGCGACGTCCGCGCGGTTCACGCGCGCGGAGTGCAGCACCTGGCAGGTGGGTCAAGGCTGCTGCACGCCACTGGGAAATACCGCGTCTGCGTGGACCTTCGCTTCTCATGGGGTGCATGGCACTTGGTCCAGCACCACCGCGTTCATCCGCTTCGACTTCCATGACGATACGATCTGCGGTGGCGTGGCGAATGCCAGGCAATACGGGAGCGCAGTTCTCACCTTGAACGACGCTTCGCCCATCGACCTGACCCTTGCGATGACAGGCGTCGCTGAGGCCAATTTCGAAAAGTTTGATCTATACGTGGACAACGTCCTGCATACCACGGTGCAAGCTTCAAACGGCCACGGGGGCAGCGCATGCCAGGTCAGCACCTGCATCATGTGCGATGTCAACATGCCCTCGCAGACATTCTCGCTTTCAGCTGGGCCGCACACAATCAAGGTAGAGGTTGATTCTCGCGACGGTCTGTTCCACAGGGGCGCTTACTTCCAGATGACCTTCGGCAAAAGCAGCCCGACGTGTGGCGGATGCACCTGCTCGGAGGCGACGCCCAGCCCGACGCCCTACCCGACGCCCTACCCGACGCCCTACCCGACGCCCTACCCGACGCCCAGCCCGACGCCCTACCCCACGCCCTACCCGACTCCCTATCCGACGCCCAGCCCGACGCCTTTTCCCACGGCTTTCCCGACGCCCTACCCCACGCCCTACCCGACGCCCTACCCCACGGCCTACCCGACGGCCTTCCCGACGCCCTACCCCACGCCCTACCCGACGCCCTACCCCACGGCCTACCCGACGGCCTTCCCGACGCCCAGCCCGACGCCCAGCCCGACGTATCCTCCAGGTTGGCCGACGCCACACCCGACGTTTCCTGCTGGAGCTCCCATGGCGGGTGGAGCCGGCGGATCGGTGGCTGCCACTGGCGATCCGCATTTGCAGAACATCTTTGGTGAGCGGTTCGACTTGATGCAGCCCGGCAAGCATGTTTTGATACAGATTCCGCAGGGAGAGCGTGCCGAGATGACGATGCTTCATGTAGAGGCCTTGGCGCATAATTTGGGTGGACACTGCGCAGACATGTACTTTCAAGAAGTAAATCTCACAGGTTCGTGGGCGGAGGCGAGGCAGGCTGGCGGTCTTCGTTTCAGCGTTCAGGGTGAAGGGATGAAATGGACAAAGTTCGGGGTGGTAGAGATAAAGATTGCCCGTGGTCGCACACAGCAGGGCACCCAGTATCTGAATTTCTACGTCAAGCACCTCGACCGCGCTGGGTTTGCAATTGGAGGGTTGTTGGGAGAAGATGATCACACGCAGGCGTCGATGCGGCCGGCGGAGTGTTTCCGGCACCTCTCCCTTTGAGCCTCGCCTGTGTGCAACGTTCATGTCGGATGCAGGGGCAGATCTCTAATGATTCCGCTTAGACGCGTCGGCGGCAGCAAGGCGGTTGACCCGACATCCGAGCCCACTTCTGAGAAAGCACGTAAGAAGTTCTGAGCACAAGCGCTTTTTGGGGCACGCCTATGTATGTATGTGTGTAAGTACATGCATGTAGGTATTTCTATGTATATGCATATGTAGGCGACGAATCATGCATAGACATGTACTTCATATGTGTATGTACAGGTTCGCATGTGCACGTATGCATGCATCTAGGCATGCATCTATATATGTAGATCAGAGAGATCGGTGTAGGTGTCAGATCGTGTTGTATGCGCATGTGTACGTCTACGTGTATGTGTATGTACAGCCGTACGCATGTGTGTCTATCAGTTATGCATCTGAACGTATATCCACATATGTATACATGTGTACGTTACTGTGTTTGCATATACGCTTATGTATAGGTACATGCATATGTACATCTGCACATGCATACATGTTTGTACACTCATTGATTTGTGTATGCGCTCATCTGTATATCCATTCAACTAGTCATACGTGTATATGTATGAAATCGCGATTCTAGATGCATGCCTATGCATATGCCTTTGACTATGTCTATGCTTGTGTAGATGTAGTTGTTGCTCTTGTTGTTTCAACAAACGTGGGTCCTATACACAATCTACATATACATGCATACACAAATCTAGTTGTAGACATGCTTACATTCATATCTATATATGTATGTATATGCTTGGCTGGATGGAGGCCCTGTTCCCTGGTTGCTATAATTGGGGGCTACACATGGGTGCGATACATGGGGGACGATACTTCGGGGTAATTCGTTGGGGCCATGCGCGGGGGCAATGCATGTGGGCGGGCAACCCATGGGGGCAATCCACAATACTTGGGGGCAGCTTACGGGGGCGATAAGTTTGGGCAGCACGTAAGGGACAATCCATGGGGGCAGGGCATGGGGCGAACTTTTGGGGCGATACTTGGGGGCAGTACATGTGGGCGATATTTTGGGGGGGAATACATAGGAGCAACACTTGGGGGAATACATGGGGTCAACATGTGGGGATTGTTTGTGAGGGATTAGTGTCGCCCTCGTCGCCGCCCCTGCACTCTTATCATCAAATCTTGGTGTTACGTATTGGCATACGTGTATGTATATGAGTATGGGTATGAGAGAGGTGTTTGTGTATGTCTATGTGTATGCGCATGCGTATGTGTATGTGGATGTGCATGCTTACGTGCACGTGTACGTGTATGCGTATGCGTATGCGTACGCATATGCGCATGCGCATGCGTATGCGTATGCGTATGCGTATCTGTATGTGTATGTATACGAGGCCTGGGGGAGTGCGCAAAGGACCTGCTGACACGCCCATTCGGTGCCCAGCGGCATGGTGGTGAATATGTGTGCGTGTGTGCATGCATGCATGCATGTACGTATGTATGCATGCCTGTCTGTATGAATGTACCTACGCAATGTATGCGTGCATGTATGCACGCACGCATGCATGTATGTATGCATGTGTGGATTCATGGTTGCGTAGGTTTTCACACATAGGTATGTATGCTTGCGTGTATATATGTGTGTGTGTATTATCCAGCGTTGATCCCAAACAGTAGGTTATTGCAGTCTATGCGGTGCAATCTAGGTGGTGCAATCAATCACTTGTTCAATATGAAGTTGTTCCATCCACTGCTCGTGCAAACATCCAACCCTCCCACCCGCAACTTGGTTGCACGACCTCCTAAGACTGTGGCGGTGGGTACCACATGGCACTTGGGAGCGACGCCGACGACGACAGCGACAACGACGACGACGCCACCGACAACGACTACGACGACACCGACGACGTCTCCAACGGCTTCGACGACACCGACGACGACGACGGCACCGACGACGACGACGACGCCGACGACGACGACGGCGATGACAACGCCGACGACGACGCCGACGCCGACGATGACTATTACGACGGGAACGTGTCGAGCAAGACGCTTGGTTTCACGTGTCCAGGTCGCCCAGGCGGATGTGTAACATGCAGATGTGTTGAGAATGTCTCGAGCGAGACGCTTATTTTCACGTGTCCAGGTCGTCCAGGCGGATGTGTAACATGAGGATGTGTTGAGAATGTCTCGAGCGAAAAGCTTGCCCGTCCGTGGGGCGTCCCCTGGTGCGCTGGCGCGTCCCCTCGCGCGTCCCTTGCGACGTTCTGGCGTGACGTGCCCTGGCACGTCCCCCAGCACGCCACTCGGCGTGGCATGTTCCCTGGCTCGTCCTCTGTCGCGTTTCCTGGCTCGTCCCCAGGCGTGCCCCCTGCTTGTTCCTTGGCGCGCCCTTTGCAACGCCCCTTGGCATGACGTCCTCTGGCCGCCCCGTGGCACGCGCCTTGGCACGTCCCGTGGCAGGTCCCTGACACGTCCAGGGCACGTCCCCTGATACGCCCCCTGACACGCCCCCTGGCGCATCTCGTATTCGCCCCTGGAACATCCTGTGGCGCGTCCGTGAGCCTGTGCCCCGTGCCGTTTCGTTCCTTTTCGGAGTTGAGTCGGATTTTGAGGTCGAGTTGATTGAGCGTCCCACACGTTTCCATGCCAACTAGCTTTGGGACAGTTGCCATGTGCTTGGACAGCTCGAGCTGAGGATCCAGATCAGTTCGGTCTCAGACTCGGATGCAAAGGAAGACTCGATCCAAAACGCCGCAGAGCACAATCGCAGCATGGCATATCGCAAGTCAGCACCGCGCAGCACAGCACAGGCTTTGGCACGTTACACCAAGATCGATACACTCCGCATTGCAATTGCCCGTCGCCCAATCAGGTGTCTTGAACATGTTGCCGTGCCTCACCTTTCCATACCCCTTTCCGGGTTCGTGGCTCGATCATGTTGTTTCTGATAAGGGGTGCGCTTGTTCGCACCACCCTGCGCGGGACCAGTGCCAAGGGTTGATTGCTCAATGCTCAGGGCTTACGGCGCCCAGCAGAGCAGAAACCCATGCCGATTTGGGTCCGGTGCAGAGTGTCGCGTTTCGAGCCCGCAGCGTGGCACTGCGGGTCCGCAACAGCGCCTGGTGGGCAGCGTCCAGATGCCGTGGCCATGCAGGCTCAATAGCCGAAATAGCACATTCAGCAAGTCGTTAATCGCGGAGAAGCGTTTTCTCGCTCGAGTAGACGGGATGGTGGCGACTGGTATGATCTGGTCTCTTGTGTTTCTCGGGCTATCAGGCGCGTCTGGCATGCAGCTGGCAACGAGCGGGTGGCTCGAGAACGTGGCGCCCAACGCGACGTCCGCGCGGTTCACGCGCGCGGAGTGCAGCACCTGGCAGGTGGGTCAAGGCTGCTGCACGCCACTGGGAAATACCGCGTCTGCGTGGACCTTCGCTTCTCATGGGGTGCATGGCACTTGGTCCAGCACCACCGCGTTCATCCGCTTCGACTTCCATGACGATACGATCTGCGGTGGCGTGGCGAATGCCAGGCAATACGGGAGCGCAGTTCTCACCTTGAACGACGCTTCGCCCATCGACCTGACCCTTGCGATGACAGGCGTCGCTGAGGCCAATTTCGAAAAGTTTGATCTATACGTGGACAACGTCCTGCATACCACGGTGCAAGCTTCAAACGGCCACGGGGGCAGCGCATGCCAGGTCAGCACCTGCATCATGTGCGATGTCAACATGCCCTCGCAGACATTCTCGCTTTCAGCTGGGCCGCACACAATCAAGGTAGAGGTTGATTCTCGCGACGGTCTGTACCACAGGGGCGCTTACTTCCAGATGACCTTCGGCAAAAGCAGCCCGACGTGTGGCGGATGCACCTGCTCGGAGGCGACGCCCAGCCCGACGCCCTACCCGACGCCCAGCCCGACGCCCTACCCGACTCCTTACCCTACGCCCTACCCGACGCCCAGCCCGACGCCCTACCCCACGCCCTACCCCACGCCCTACCCGACTCCCTATCCGACGCCCAGCCCGACGCCTTTTCCCACGGCTTTCCCGACGCCCTACCCCACGCCTTACCCGACGCCCTACCCCACGGCCTACCCGACGGCCTTCCCAACGCCCAGCCCGACGCCCAGCCCGACGTATCCTCCAGGTTGGCCGACGCCACACCCGACGTTTCCTGCTGGAGCTCCCATGGCGGGTGGAGCCGGCGGATCGGTGGCTGCCACTGGCGATCCGCATTTGCAGAACATCTTTGGTGAGCGGTTCGACTTGATGCAGCCCGGCAAGCATGTTTTGATACAGATTCCGCAGGGAGAGCGTGCCGAGATGACGATGCTTCATGTAGAGGCCTTGGCGCATAATTTGGGTGGACACTGCGCAGACATGTACTTTCAAGAAGTAAATCTCACAGGTTCGTGGGCGGAGGCGAGGCAGGCTGGCGGTCTTCGTTTCAGCGTTCAGGGTGAAGGGATGAAATGGACAAAGTTCGGGGTGGTAGAGATAAAGATTGCCCGTGGTCGCACACAGCAGGGCACCCAGTATCTGAATTTCTACGTCAAGCACCTCGACCGCGCTGGGTTTGCAATCGGAGGGTTGTTGGGAGAAGATGATCACACGCAGGCGTCGATGCGGCCGGCGGAGTGTTTCCGGCACCTCTCCCTTTGAGCCTCGCCTGTGTGCAACGTTCATGTCGGATGCAGGGGCAGATCTCTAATGATTTCGCTTAGACGCGTCGGCGGCAGCAAGGCGGTTGACCCGACATCCGAGCCCACTTCTGAGAAAGCACGTAAGAAGTTCTGAGCACAAGCGCGTTTTGGGGCACGCCTATGTATGTATGTGTGTAAGTACATGCATGTAGGTATTTCTATGTATATGCATATGTAGGCGACGAATCATGCATAGACATGTACTTCATATGTTTATGTACAGGTTCGCATGTGCACGTATGCATGCATCTAGGCATGCATCTATATATGTAGATCAGAGAGATCGGTGTATGTGCCAGATCGTGTTGTATGCGCATGTGTACGTCTACGTGTATGTGTATGTACAGCCGTACGCATGTGTGTCTATCAGCAATGCATCTGAACGTATATCCATGTATGTACACATGTGTACGTTAGTGTGTTTGCATATACGCTTATGTATAGGTACATGCATATGTACATCTGCACATGCATACATGTTTGTACACTCATTGATTTGTGTATGCGCTCATCTGCATCTCCATTCAACTAGTCATACGTGTATATGTATGAAATCGCGATTCTAGATGCATGCCTATGCATATGCCTTTGACTATGTCTATGCTTGTGTAGATGTAGTTGTTGCTTTTTTTGTTTCAACAAACTTGGGTCCTATACACAATCTACATATACATGCATACACAAATCTAGTTGTAGACATGCCTACATTCATATCTATATATGTATGTATATGCGTGGCTGGATGGAGGCCCTTTTCCCTGGTTGCTATAATTGGGGGCTACACATGGGTGCGATACATGGGGGACGATACTTCGGGGTAATTCTTTGGGGCCATGCGCGGGGGCAATGCATGTGGGCGGGCAACCCATGGGGGCAATCCACAATACTTGGGGGCAGCTTACGGGGGCGATACGTTTGGGCAGCACGTAAGGGGCAATCCATGGGGGCAGGGCATGGGGCGAACTTTTTGGGCGATACTTGGGGGCAGTACATGTGGGCGATATTGGGGGGGGGGGGGGCAATACATAGGAGCAACACTTGGGGGAATACGTGGGGTCAACATGTGGGGATTGTTTGTGAGGGATTAGTTTCGCCCTCGTCGCCGCCCCTTGTGATAGATGGGCACATTCGTTAAATATAGGTTCAGCACTTAGAGGGCGAGTCTAGTTCTGACCGTGATTCGCCCTGTGGCTCAAGGGATAAACATCTGCTTTCTCCTCCTGCTGCCACAGTTGGTAGCGGAGCGCGGTCCCGGCAGGTGGCCATGGGCAGCGGCGGGCAGCCTTGATCGGTGCGCCCGGCCCCCTGCTCGCGAGCCACTGCCGCGGCTGCGCTCGGCGCACTGGGAAGTGTGGGGATCCACGGCAGATGCCCGACGACGGAGTGACGGGCGAGAAGGGCACCACTCCCGGCGACGGCGAGAGGGGCGGCGGGAGCGCGGCCAGCGCGGCGCCCCCAGGACCGACACCGCCAGGAGTGACACCTGAGCTCCTCGAGCTGGTCAAGAAGTTAGTCGCCACGACTATGAGGGAGAACCAGACTCAGGAGTCTCAGGCAGCAGGACGACATGTGCAGACGTGGAGCGGCTGGAACGAGCCCAGTGCCGACCCATGGTCCACCCAGGACCCCTGGTCGCAGGCTCAGCCAGGCTGCGGGACCCAGGAGTCCCCGGCAGCCGGCTCGGCCGGAGACGGCTCGGACCAGCAGCAGGATCAGAAGAACGGCGAGGCAGCTCGGCGCTGGACCAGCGACTGGGCCGCGGGCAGCCAGGGTGCCGGCGGCTGGGGTGCTGGCGACTGGCGGACGGCCGACCAGAGCTGGCCAGGCCAGCAGTGGAGCAGCGGCGGCTGGCAGCGCGGAGACTACTCGGACCCGCCTGCCTTCCCCGGCTGGGCGCACTACCGAGGGTGGCGCAAAGCCGTCCGCCGCTGGGACAAGAACACGGACGTGGCAGTCTGGCGCCGGGCTGAGCGTTTCCTCAAGCTTTTCGATTGGACGATGCAGTCCAAGTTTGACGACGTGCCAGAGGCGGACCTCCCAGGTCCAGGCTGGCTGGACATCCTCATCGGACGGATGGACATCATGGCAGGAGAACGAGAAGGGGATGATCTCCGACGCGCCGGGAGAAAGGCCCTCTTCGAGGCCACCCGCGACGCCAAGGAGACTCTCACAGCCTACGTGTGCAGGCGTGAGGCCCAGCTGCTGGAGGCAGAAGGGCACGACCTCTGGATGTCGCCCAAGCTTAAAGGACTATTTCTAGAAGAAGGTGCGGCACTCTCGGCCCAGGGTGCTCAGAACCTTCGGACGCTCACACAGGGGCGACTTGACTACGACAACGTGGCGTGGGCTTTGAGACAGATGGACGCCTACGGGTCAGAGCGATTGTTACCGGGGGCTCGCGGAGCGAGCGCCAACCTGGCATCCAGTACTGAGGGCTTCGGCCCGAGACGTGAGGTAGGACCCAGTGGCAGTGCAGCTCACTCCTTTCCCTCCGCTCCGGTCGACGGTGGTGACGGTGGTCACGACCAGGAGTCCGACGGCGAGGTCGAATCCTACGACTACTACGACGAGGATGAGGAATGCGACGACGACCTCGACGAGGCAGCACTACTGGCCGAGATCGACGATCTCAACCTCACGGAGGACCAGGTCGACGACGCCCTGATCATGCTCACCAACGACCGGTCTTGGAAGCAAAACAAGGAGCTGAAGAGGGCCGCGAAGCGCGACAGGGAGTGCTTCGGAGGCAAGGCCGGCGGCGATCGTGTCCAACCTCAACCTCGGGCTCATCCTGCCGGGCGGGGCCGGAAAGGAGACCGAGGACGAGGAAAGGGACAAGGCCGCGGCCGCGGGTCCAAGCCCAAGCTGTCGCTCCAGCAGCTCATGAAGGCCACGAGGTGCAAGAACTGCGACAAGAAGGGTCACTGTGGCAGGGAGTGCCCAGACCCTCCCAGAGACCGAGCGAGCGGCCCCTCGGGACGCAAGGTGCTCAACGGCTACTCGTTCGAGGGGTGCACGACCGATTCCAACGACTGGTGCACCCTGTCCTGCCCCAGCTGGGAGGAGGCCGAGGCCGAGCTCGGCTCCAGCGACGTCTACCTGAGGTCGACGCAGGGGCTCGTGGACCCCGGCGCCGGCAGCGATCTCGTTGGACTGGAGGCTCTGAATCGAGAGTCGCAGGCGTTGGCCAGCCTCGGGATGTGCTTCGAGGTCATCCCTAGGCAACATCGCAAGCCTAGGGCGGCGCACGGGGTGGGAGGTGCCGCCACCGTGCTCGCATCGATTCTCTTTCCGATGTGCCTAGGAGGAGCCTTCGGCATCGTCGAGACTACGGTGCTCGAGGACAATGTGCCTCACATCCTCAGCGTCAATTTGCTTGAGTTCTTGGGCGCAGTCATTGACTTGCCGAGGAACGAGATGTGTTTGGACACCCCGGAGCCCAAGGTCACTTTGACTCGTCTGGGTTCCGGGCACCGCATGGCAGAAATAGTGCGTGCAGTCTCGGGGCCGTGGGAGGTTCCAGCCTCGGCCCTGAACAAGTACCCGTTTCTGTCGCCCTCATCTTTTCAGCTCGGAGGTCGGCAGGCACCGATGATGCTGGCAGACGGATCAGCGCAGCAGTACATCATCCTTCTCGTCATCATCTTAGCAAGGCACCCAGGGCGCTTCAGAAGATCAAGGGCCAGGACCAGGACCAGGGCGAGCCAGGACTTCGGGGACTCCCAGAAGATCGTAGGTGCGAGCCAGGACTTCGGGGACTCTCAGAAGATCGTAGGCGCACTCCTGGCCACGGGGCTCCTGGGGATCTACACGGCGTTCGCCCGGGTCGTTGAGAGGATCGGGGACCTCTTCCAGCCACGGGCTCAGCGAGCTTGTTCAGGCCAGGCCTCAGGGGTTCTTGGACAAGCTAAGGTGAAGAGGGCCGAGGACTACGACATCGGGACCCTCGACCTCCACCTTCCATTCCGGCCGCGCGGAGGGTATGGAAGGTCATGTTACCTAGTTAATGTCTTGATGTGTCTCGATGTGTCTCGATTGTCTTGGCATGTCTCGATATGTCTCGCGGATGTCTTAGTATGTATAGATATTCCATGTAACATTACACACCATTTGCAACAAACAAACAACGATAATTCAGGATACAAACCACACACCGAAACAAATAGATAGGGCAAAACAAGCCAATAACATAACGCAGGTAGGAAGTAGGCACGCAAGAACACCACTCGAAACATCTCAACAAAGATGCCGAAGCCTCAAGACCTTCAAGGGTTTTCAAAGAGCCTCAAGGAGCCTCAAAGAGCCTCACAGAGCCGCGAGGGGCCTCAAGGAGCCTCAAGGAACCTCAAGGGAGCCAGGCCGCCCCAAGGAGCTTCAAGGAGCCCAAGGGTCACACGGGAGCCAAAACGCCCCCAAGAAATGCCAAAAGAGCCCCAAAGACCCAAGGGCCGACGAGCCCCTAAGAAGCAAAAGGGAGCTTGATACGCTCTGTGCCAACCCTTCCCCGTCACCCTCCCCCCTCGATTCTCGCGCGCCCGATTCTCCCGCCCAGGTGTGTGAAAATCGTGGGGGGGGATGGGGGAGGAGAGGTGCAGAGTGCATATCAGGCTCCCTTATCTTTTCCTTGTTCTTCGTATTGCGGCTGGGTTGGCTCAAATTTTATTTCGGGCCCAGTCCTCGAGCCTCCACGGAGGCTGGGCCTTTTCGGCGGCGCCACTCCACGCCCAGGGGCCCAGAGGCGGATGGCGGAGGCCCACAACACGCAGGCTCGCCTGGCTCTCGTGTTCCAGCGTTGCCTCAAGAGCAACGCCCTGGGCGACTACGTGGCGTGGGACACGCACGGTAGCAAAAGGACTAGAGGGCTCACGGACTACCTGCTGGAGACGGGCCAGTGGGAGGTCATCAACAGGCCACTGCGTCTGCGGCACATCATTGCCCAGCGTCCCTGGGTCATCGCGCTCCCGCCCGAGAGGGCGCGATGGCTCAGGCACGCTGGGTAACGAAGCGCCCAGACCACCAAGGCTGCACGACATCTCGGGGGGCAGCATGAAGTTCGAGATCGGAGACATCGAAGTGGCCATGCACACGGCACCTCCTCCTCATTCATCCTCCTACGCTTTCGGAGGAGGG